GCCCGGGGTAGAGTGCCGAGGGGCACGGCTAGCATCGAGCAACATATCATTAGGGGCCATGTGCAATTTGTCGCCCACCTTCATCTGTGCTGTCACCTGCCTGTACAGCACCTGTCCCAGTGGAAAGGAGCCCCTGAACCCCCCCCCCCCCCGGCCAAACTCTGCCCTGAGCAAGGAAAGGGAAGATCCTTTAGGCAAAGGGCATTGCGCAGCAGGGAACGGTGAGGGCTCCTTGCTGGGCAGCAAAGGGAGAAGCTGGAGCCTGAAACCAAGTGATGGGCAGCAAAGCGCTGTGCTTCCCTTCTGGCCCCCAGGATAGAAGGCACAAGCAAATGTCTGTGGCCTGAGCTGCTGCTCTCTGTAGAGCCTGCTGCTGCCATGCAGGTTCCCCAAGGCGATGCCCAAGGGTGGCTGCTGGCTGTTGAGCGGGAGGAGGTGGTGGTGCCCCGAACCACTACAAGAAGGCTGTGAAGATACGCATGCCTGAGCAGTTCTGTTTTGTGTTGGAAAGCCAGGGCTGTGGCCCTCTCTTGTGCTGTTACTTCTGTCATTTATCAATTCCGTCTGTGTTAGTTGGTAGTAACTCACCACCATATTTACCAGGTGAGCCATAGCCTAGCTGTGTCCTGTGCAGCCTCCTCTTGGCACAGCTATTGCTGCTCTGGCTCCGAACGAAGTCAGGGCACCGCTTGGGGGGGGATGTTCAGAAGGGGAAGGCTGGAGGCAGAGGGTTTTGAAGTGATACAGAATTAGGATTTGGCCCTGTTAATGCAATGGAAGGATCAGCACTGTCCTTTTTTAGTATCTCCTTGATGCGTCTCTCTCCCCCCCCCTCCCCCCCAAAAAAAAAGGGGGGCAGCCCTCCGCAGGGAAGAGGTGTCACTACCTCTGCTCCCTGGAAGGGGCAGGGGAACTGCCCGCCCTGCACTGGCAGATGGGTGGGATCATGCCTGAATCACAGCTGGGGAGAGAGGCCTGCTTTCCTGAGCCCTATTTAGTTGTTAAATCATTTGCAGGGGGAGCCTGCTGGCAGCTTGCATCCTTTCTGCACACCCCCCCCACCCCCAAAAGCTGGAGCACACAGCTTCCCCAGCAGTGTGTCTGAGGTGAGGGGTGCTTATCTGCCTCCCTCAGCGCCTTCCACTTCCCTCTCCCACCCCTTTGGTCAGGCTGCCCCTCCCTCACGTCTTTCGGTGGTTGTGCCCTGCGTGTACTGGGGAGAGGGGGGCTAGTGTCCAGCGGCACAATAGACATCACGTTACAGCTCTTCGAGCGCTCTGGGGCTGTGCTCTTCGTAGCATGTCCACTACTGTTGGAGACAGGGCTGCCCCCCCAAGGGCAACTGCCCACCACTGTGGGTCAGGGTGTGTGTGGGAGGCAGGTGGTTCCAGACAAGGGTTGGGAGGACCTTTCCTCCTAAAGGGGAGGAGGGGAAGAGGTGGGAGGGGGGGGGAAAAAAAAAGAGGCTGCTCCCCCCTCCAAACTTGAGTGAGTTTTAGT